CAACCGAGTATATTGGCGGTGGTATGGGTTTGCAATGCATGTACTTCACTCTCCCGCGCCACACGCATCAAGTACCATTGACAAGGGAAAACTAAGACTATCGAAAATGGGCGTAGGTGGAGTGACTGACGAGGCAAAACAGCCGGTCTACGGTTTCAGCGCGTGACCAAATCCCTAACTCTCTCAAACCAGGCACTGATGAGAGGGTCTCAGATCGCAAGGGAGTGACAGTGCCATAAATGCTACATTAAGAAAGATCCATTGCAGCCTGACCTTCGTTCAAAAAGAGGACTAAGGCCCTATACCAGCCAGAAAAACCTCCCATATTACAGGTTTTAACGCAGCATGATAGAGTCATGCGAATCATTGTGATGGATGTTAACTTGTTATAAGACACCCCAGTATCGGCCTAATTATCTCTAGCTTCTCCTATGCACCAAATGCCTGTCGGAGCCTACCTATTCGACCAACGATGAGACTTGGCGCAGCGGCTGACATGACGTGAGAGACGCCGTCTACGTGTACAGAATAGGTGGCTGTCCCTCACTCCTCATGACATGACTTCACCAAGACATACAAGTGTCGGAAAAGCAAAATGTACACTCTACGACATCCGAGGCTTTACCTGGTATAAGGATACTGGAAAATTGCATCGAGGGGACGCTTCATGGACAGTGTGTTACGTTTTTTCCGAGAGGCCTGTAACGCGATAGGCCGATGCGTAGTTTAAGTGTATCTGTGCGTGCGGGCAGAGACAGATGGTGTGAGATCTGAACAGAGCTATTTTACCGAAGGTTCTCGCGTATGCGCATATGACCGAGTAGGCCGGTAGATTACCTAAATGTCTGGGACAGTGTGAACAGGTAAGGCGAGCATAAAAGGTGTTGGTCGGTGCTAATTCTCTGGCCATGTTGCGACAAATTCACTGGTGACCGGGCAGACCGATACGTGATTCGAATGTGCGGCTGAGACGTGGACAGGATGTGTTCAGTGATGCTGATGGGCAGTCTTTGTGTGCAAACGGCGTTCGCGTTAAAGTGAGTTTGAAGATGTCCGACCAATGCGAACCGGGGCTTGGACTTTCTGTTATAGTGAAAACAGACGGGAGGGACGTCATCAAGGGTGGCGCCGTTGACATTTTTTGGTGTGGAGGGTGGGTTGGGCGCGTTCACATCGTCGTAGATACGAGGGCGCCACACTAGGTCGGTTCATGACACGCCAGCCAACAGTGCCGACAGTTGACAAGATTTGAGCGTTTGTGACGCGGTGTTGGGTTTATTTACGTCTTGTCTGCCGCTCCATTCGCCTTAGTTTCCGCTATTTGATTGGCTTTAAAGATTGCTGCCCCAGTTTTGACGCTAATACGCCAGGCCTATGATCCTATGCGAGGTCTTCCTAGGTCTCTTGACTGATCCTGCAGATGTCTAAAAGAGGTTTTCAGGGTGTTTTCGTATGATCACTTTTGCTCTCTTGCCTACAAACACACGTAAAGATGTCTCAGTAAAATAGTAGCTTGGGTAAGAGGTTGTCGGTCATTCCCACGACCTGACCACTTTATTGCATTTAGAGCCGCTTTAGCCAAACATAGCTGACGAGAGCGACAGCAAGCACAGGCCTTGTCATTTCCCTGTGCACTGCTATACGACGTTTTCGCTCAATCCAGCATTTACTTGAACTTTATGTCAGTCCATCAAGAATGCGGTTGCCCAGAAGCTGACATTGCATATACGCTATTGCTTTTCGTGTTTATACAGTCGTTTGGCTGCAAGCTGTGTGAAGAGCTTCGCACCCGATCTTCCTCAAAGCGGAAGCAAAGATACGAGTTTAGGTTCTTTATGAATGAAGGAGGTCGATTTCTTGGAGTTATTTGCTCGAGTTTTTGGATACGCGTAGGGAGCCAGTGTTAGAAGCGATGAGAGAACAGCAGTAAATTTGATTTATTCGTAGGTGAAACACGGCCAGGCTATCTAACAGCTAGAGTACGATGCGTGATAGGTGTAGGTTGACCAATATACCGCAGATGCCATTAGAGGTTCAGGTTCAAAACGGCTCCCGAAGGATCTTGCTTACGGACCGCAACAGCATCCTTATGCTAGCGAAGCGGCATCCATGGCCTGCCCTTACGGCGCGGACGCCGATTTCGGATTGCTGGACGCTCCTGCGCACCTTTCATTCATGAAATTAGGCCCCCTGTAGTTTGAACTGTGATTGAAGGGGCATTTACCTGGTGACGAGCAGACCCATTAAGTATATAAACACATTGGATGAGATAATCGATATCATATGCGCCCATGCGCCTGAAACCCGCCTTTCATTCGAAATATTACGTGACCTGTTGAAACTTTGCACAAAAAACGTCCAATTTCTGTTCAATGGACAGCTACACAGACAACTTGGTGGAGTGGCAATGGGAAGTCCACTTGGCCCAAACCTTGCCGAAATTTTTACGGGTCACTTAGAAGAAAAGTTTTCAGCAAAAGTGAATAGGAAAACACTGTATAAAAGATATGTAGACGATATTTTTGCTATTGCTGATGACGACGAGGAAACCGAAGACCTACTTGTTGCCATGAACAGTCTCCATCCTAAAATTAAATTCTAAATGGAAAAGGAGCAGTGCAACAAGCTTTCTTTCCTGGATGTCCTCATGACTAGACAGGAAGATGGTTCCATAAGGCGATCTGTTTTCCACAAGGATACATGGAAAGGTCAATACCTGCACTTCTTGAGCTTTGTGTCGATACAACGAAAAAGACATTTGGTTTACACTCTATTCCAAAGAGCAAGAAACATTTGCTCTATTGAAACGCTGGATGATGAAATTACTTCCCTCAAAACAGCCCTGCTTAAACGGGGATATCCACCAAGATTCATCGAAAAGTATAGCAACACTTTACGGCCGAAATTGACGGAACAATCAGTTCCGAAAAAGCCCCTTATAATATCCTTCTCCTTTAAGGGCGACAACATCTCAAATACCATCAAGCGGCGACTGAGATGTGCTATTGAAAGAACTTACAACTCAGCTAAACTCATATTCTGCAGCCCTACTAAGGCTATCCAAGTTCCACGGGCGAAGGATGCCTTGCCATTGCACGCCACGTCAAATTGTGTTTACGAATTTACATGCACTTTTGACTGCAAGTACATTGGGCGAACGCAAAGGCGACTGGCAGCCAGGTCAGTTGAGCACCTGCCTAAATGGCTTTTAAGGCAGGGGAATAAGATTCCACGGTCTTCTATTACAAAACGTCTTGATAGTGGCCATTCAGTTGACCCCAAAACGTCTTTTCGAGTATTAGTTCGAGCACGAACAACTCGGTTATTGCGCTACCTGGAGGCAGCCCACATACGTCGGGAGAAACCCGACCCATGTAAACAGTTAGACTACGTGGTCAACCCCAGCTTGCCCTGGTAGACCTGAGCCCTTTTGATTTTCGAAATCCCTCGGCGCGTTTACTTCCCCACTTTCATTCCTACGTTGCGTTTCGAAGCTACCATTTTATTGATTAGTCTACGTGCAGTATACGATGACCTTGCTGTTTTACATTGATATTCTCTGTCGAAGTTCAAACCTCTGTATCTTTCTCACTTGTTATCTGTGTTATGCAACGACAGGCTGCAGATGATAGGCCGTCGCGAAATTTACTGGTACCAATAAATTCTGCTGTCCATGCCTGTTTTAAATAGAGCCAAAAATAACCCCTCCACTAACAGGGGGTTAGAAGATCTTAAGCGAAAAAAACAGTCCGAAATTTGTTACGTTTGATTCACTCTAATACCTCCTTTTAAAACCCTAACTTGACCTAATCATGTCCCTTGTGAGTGATTCATGTGATAATGACTCAACAATCTTGCTTCCCACAAGCAGTGCACGCCTTCGCTCTCTCCACGTGACTAATTACTCTACTCGGACCATCTTGGCGCTGCATAGGGAAGGGGGAGATTACTGTTCGACGACGAACTGTGGACCGGGGGCCATGATTCAAGCAGCTCGCGGCTCATGGGGCCATCACCTCCTGCGGAAATTTCGGCCTGGTCAAATTTGAAGGTGCGGCCAGGTCCCACTGAGTGATTTATGACCTGGGAGTTGATATCATTTCCCCACGCTGTCAACGCGTGTTCAGCCATCCGCGTACAAAACATGCTCCTAGTTATCTTGTCTGCAACTGTACCAGACCCGGTAAAGGACTCCAAATGTTCTCTGTCACGGCAGTTGGTTTTCGGCCTCATCAGTTGGTGCCTGATAATAACCCTCCGTCCGGCATATGCGAAGATAAGACAAGAGACGAAACAGCACCGGCCTAAAATTTTTCTGAACTTTCTCGTACGTTAAGAACAGCTCGAAAACTGTCAAACGTCTTCTTACACCACTGATGGTAAGGGTTGCATATGAATTCTTGGAAACTATTAAGCAGGGACCCAATTACTCGGCAGAAAACGCATAAAGCTGCTCATCGAAGTACGTGCAATTTTGGGCAAAGCAACTACGTCGGAGGAATACGAAGATTAGTCGGGATGCGGATGGCCGAATAAGCAACGAAAGAGGGAGGTGGAAGGGAATGGTGTAAATTCTCATTTCGCAGCCCACTCGACGGGACCCGGCCACACGTTTAGATCATTGCGAAAAGTGGAAACTGCGCGAGTCATGGTTCTCCGGTCCACAGATCAAAGTCCCGAAGGATATTTCAAAAAAGACACGAAGGTAACCAAGTATTCGACTTGAGTAGGACGCCTCTGCGGATTAGAATGGAAAATCGCAGAGTCCGTATACGTGACAGCGAGGTCAAAGGAGACAGTGCGGCTTTGAAGGCAAGTGAGGCGAACAGAGGTCATTTTGATGAACTTTTAGGCATATACACGCGGCAAGACTTTAACATACACATGGTTGGGATCTTAATTCTGCTGGTGAGTGCACCATGGACACGGAAAAACGCTTGAGGACGGTTAAGGACTTCAAATTTAAAGTTTAGGAATGCAAGTAGGCAGCAAACACGATATCAACTTGCCAACTTGTTCTCCTTTTCTTCGTGGAGAATCCTCTGCTGGAGATTACGGTCTTCCTCCCGCAGTATTCGTATCCTTTCGGTGTGTCTGGATGAAGTGTGTCAAGGGTGCGAAGTTTAAATCCTCAATTATCATGATTATTAACAGCTGAGAGCCCGGAGTGAGGCCCAGATACTTTAATTTACCAACCCGAATGGGATGATAGAAGTCTTGTTAGGCTTGATGGACACTGCCGATATATCTTCTGTGGTTAGGTTGGGTTTCACACCTAGGAGATCAAGTCTGCCTGCTAAACAAAAGATTGGGTATAAGACTGCGCGCAACACGGCATTCTCGAGGTTAAAAATCGCTTTCGCTGTCCTTACAATGAACTAGAGAAGAGGAAAGAATTAGATAACACCACTCTTGACGGGGTTCCCATGGACACGGTCGCTTACAGCTAAGTAGGAAGGAACTTTCGAGACAAAATAAAATTCAGAATGAAGGCGAAATTGCGAGTTCCAGGTGTATGCATAAGTGAAGAAGAGGGGTCGAGCACCGGAACACTTCGTTTATTGCCCTGAGCCTTCATAAGTCGCTGCCTACGCGGTCGCCTCCAGAGGACTCGAACGCCAACACCACGGACGATATGACATTCTCTGCCATACATAAAGGGCGTTTCAGAAGCGACCGAGTGCATTGCTGCGGAGCTAGGTGTTCGAATTGCGCACTGCCCCAAAGCCACCATGCGCAACAGGGTCATGAAAATTAGAAACTGGTTAATGCCTGAAGAGCAATCTGGAGTATTGTATAGCATTTCGTGTCCTTGTAACTACACAGGGCAGATTGGGCACATGCTTGGATCGCGCATACACGAACATAAGCTGCCTGTGTGACGAGGCGACGCATTATCACAAGTGGCCGTCCACACCTATGAAATGTGTCACGAGTTTGACTTCGCGGCCACCAAAATAGTCGCGCACGCCGGAAACAAAACAGGCCGAGAATTGTTTGAAGCCTCGGCCTCGAATGAGAACTCAGTCAATCGATTTATCGGTCTGGCGCCGGCGTACAGAGCCCTGCGTAATCATCTCCAATCTTGCGCCGTCGGTCGATGACTGGCCTACATGCCCTATAACTGTTGCTTGTTCTGCTGCTACTACCTCTGACGATGGACTTCTGCACGAGTCTGAAAGGTCAGGACAATAAACAAAGTGTTCCGGTGTTCGACACTACTTTTTCAAAATTCGGAATAATTTAGGCAAGAAATTCTGTACGTCAGTAGGTCTCGGGGACTGCATTTGGTATTTGGAAACATCCATCCACCACTGCTACAGGCAAGGGGAGTTACTCAGCACTGTCAACAGTCATGGATACTGCTAAGATATCCGCCGGTGGAGCGTGGCATAGAGTCTAGCACCCAGCTCCCCCAATAAAGAACGTCGAAGTGGGACGTTCCGGTCAATGAAACTGGAAATTTAAGCTTCCCGGTCAAGGTCTTGGTGACATGGGAAGAGAAACAACGAGCCTATTTCGCAGTACTCGGCTCTAAATGAAAAGACATTAGAGCGCACATTTAAGTAATGCGCGCAATTGAAGGCTTGAACAGCAATGCATGCACAAACGCTGCATCCATAGAGTTTTGCAGCATTCTGTTATAAATGCATTGAGAGAAACGCATTTGACCAAGAGAGAAATTTTTTCCGAAAGTTCTTCCGTAAAAGGCGACAGACTGTGGATAGATGACCATCCACAGATCATTAAGCTACTTCGGCCGTTGCCAAAATCAGGCCTTGGTGAGTAGAACCCAACAGACACCGCTTCAGAAAGAGACTTCTAATATACTGGGACTTAAAAGAAAATTTGCAATGCAGTTGAGGGGAGAGGGTGTTTGTCAGACAGCATCGAACAATAAGTCGACAGAGTAGGAAAAAAGGATACGCATATTGCAGATCGTCCAAGATGGACTTCTGAAGACGGGTCTCCTTTTCGCGAATCTCTCTCGCAACTTTGCGTTCCTCCAAACGGTGCTGTCTCTCGATTTCCAGAGCCTTTTCAAAAATACGCCGGAAGAGCTGCAGTCAAGACAATAATGAAAAAGTACGCCGTCAGGCCCAAACGCAGAGTGTATCGTTTTTCCGAAAAGTATGCAAATTTATTGACAAATAATTCTTGCTGGTAAAGGCCAACTGACAGGCTTTGGTAGTGCAGGAGTTAAGGTCAGAATCTCAGACAAAAAGGGAAAAACATTCAGCATCCTAGGTGGGTGCTTGCTGACGATGATAATCGGTAATAGTGAAGCCGACGACCGCACTCCCTCACCCATGCCACAGCCCCGTTTTCATCAGTAAAATGTTGATGGAAGTCCCATGGAGAGACGACTGTGGTAGTTTGGGCACATTTCTCATTACCCACTCCTCGATGCCACTGGCATCAGTGTGACGCTGATACCCGCGTGTAATCGTCGAAGATAAGTTCAACTTAAAATCTGGCTCGACATAGTCTGTCGAGGCAAAGAAGTGATTTTTGAACCTTTGGTATTCGGACTGCGTCGGTGAAGAGTGGATAGAGTTCGCCAAATCGTTGCCAGAGATCGGTACAGTCGGCGACTCCATCGAGACCGGTTAGGTCTGGTCACGGCCATACTGAGTGGAAATAATCCCAGTAAGAACAGGTTAATAGACCTACCTCCGAAGCAAAGGCTACATATCAAAGCATCGTCGACATAGAGAACACCAGTTACTAGTCATACTTTCAGGTCAAAAATAAACACAGTCATTGAGTCCAACAAAAGAAACAATAACTTGAGATGAATTTCAAAGGAACGGCAAACTGCTAAAAAAATGATTGATGCAGAACATGATGACCACGTGCAATGGCAATCCCCACGACCATGACCACCACTAAAATCATCAATGGCGGTAGTAGAATACTGTCTGATAGGTAAGAGAGGGGTACGGCTAACAATCCACTCGATTCAAAGGTGAGTTGACATAAGTTACGCGCATTTAAATGGTGACCTACCAGTTCCTCATCTGCTTTTTGGGCGAGCTTCTGGGCCCGGAAGTGATCCACAAACTGCCGTTGATAGCAACGTGCACGCACCTCCTGACGCTTGCGTTCCCGCATCTCCGCTCTCAGTTGTCGACAGAAGTCCTCCTGATTACGACTAGCATGTAATCTTGTCGTCCTCTCCTCCTGACGATGTATTAGAGTCAATCGTTCGCGCTGTTTCAACTCAAGTTCACTGAGACTACGGGCTAAGGCCGATGTCATGCCCATGTCGCCCGAAGTAGCAGCAGAGTCTTTTGTCGAGCGGGAGGAATCATTTGAACTATAAAAGCTTTCTGGTTCCCGGGCGGGAGTGCGAGGAGCCAAGAGCGGGAAAAAAACCACTGTTATCATCATATTCGCTTTAACAACAATAATAAAAAAGGAACACTTTCGACAGCAACACAATCAGAAATACTATCCTGGGACCTCAAATTAGTGTCAGAGTGGCGGACAAAGATACCTACGTTCGCGCTCAGAAATCGCAAAAAAGCCCCTTAAACTGGACCAGCCGAAGCAAAGAGCCAAAGGCCAATGATGCTGAGAAGATCAACACTAGACATTCAAGGGTATTGTGTCGCAACGACTTACGATGTTCGATCCCGATTTGCGCGGTAGTAGACAACAGCACCATTCTCTGCCTGTCTTTCCTCTTTATTGCTCTTCTTTTACCCGAGAGTAGGCAGAAAAATTCATGAAAACTTAACTCCAGTTATCAGACCTAGTAAACGGCAGTTACAACACTGAAATTTAGGGGGCAGGCTCCCTATAATCACCAAACATTTGCCTACAAAAAGTTTATTAAACACGAAACCATTACACAGCTAGAAAATATTTCCCCATTGTCCCTCGAAGGACTAGTGAGTTAAATTAGACGACTCCTTCGAAAAGCGGGGTATTTGGTCGCGCGGAGATACTAAGCGCATTCGTCTTTACTAGATGAGGACGTTATCAGAGAGCCCAGTCAACAATCAAGTACTGCGTTTGCAATACAAGCGAGAATGGTGAAATAGCTATGCGTCAGTTGTGGAAAATGTACATGCGCATATGAGGTTTGGTGGCTAGAGCCCCTTCTGCTAGAGTGCTTTTCCATTTTCGAAAATTGATTTACCTAATCGCTTCTGTAGATAATTCTGCGTCTCTCGGCTTAGTGTGATGCCGGGCAGCTCCCTAAGCAGATCCTCCAAGAGAGCCACGCCATTACGTCGCCTGGTATAGCGCGGTTGGGGGTCTGACCAGCGGAAGGAGATCGGCGCTACAACGTGTGAGAGCGGTACCTCAACGGGTTTGAGGATGGAGCGGGATGCAGGTGCTGCGGATAGTTTGCAACGTGGTGCTGGGACCGGGACGGGGGCAGCAGTGCTCGGGGGCGACTGGGTCACTGACTCCTGAAAACGAAAATGTGTAATTGTCCGCGGTAACTACGCGAGTATAGGAAACAAAAATTGTTTCAAGGATGGCGCTTAACCGATCTAACTGCAAGATGAAACATGCCCGTTTCGTCCACTCTGGGGTGTTAGTCTACAGCAATCGCGAGCGGCAACACAACAACAATCAATAATGCAAAACTAATATTGACAAATACAGTAGAGAACGGAATAGATATTCGCAGCCTGGCGGACATCGTCATTCAACCACAACAGTTGGCTTCCATTGCCCACATACTATGTGTATGTATGATCAACGGCCCAACAAACGATATATCGGGCTGTGGATACTGTCAAACGTTTGACACTCGTCTGCAAAACAAACGACGTTCAGAAGTTTCGTGACCTTGGAGAGATGGACGATGGATGGATGGAATAGCAAAGAACTCGACGAGAAAGAATCTTATTTCTGAATTTCCATTTGACAATTCCAACAAACCAGGCTAAGAAAGGAGGCAACGTCATTCACAAGAGTTAGAGCGGATGCATCCAGGGGAATTCGGCAGTATGCAGTTACCAACAAAACAACTTCTGTCGCTTCCAGAAAACTGTGTTCAGCTGTATCAAACAAAGACAGATGCAGGCGTTTTTATCGTTAGAATAGAATATAATCACAATAAATTAAACAAATAATCTAAGACAGCAGAATATACTAATAGGCATTCTACTAACACAGTTAAACATAGGAAAAAAACGGACTGGAAATGTCTGCTGACGAGATCTGTAAGACAGTACTAACCACATGACTTAAGGAATATAGTTAGAATGCTTCCGGCAAAAGTCCACATACTCGGTGGCCATCAGCTTTTTATCAGAATGGCCTTGTTTCGGGAGACGCGAAGAAACGGGCAAATAATGAAATATTTCAGGAATGTCATCACTCCCTACCCATACAAACGAAATGGGGACTACCGCCTGTGACAACTGCCAATTAACCTTCTTTCCAGTACTGGAAAAAAGTATTTATACGCGTTGCATATGTTTGCATGAATGCACACCTCCAAGGACTCTTCAAGAATAAAAATGGATTCCGGGAGCGACAAGAGAGGGGCAGAGAAGGGTTTTTGTGCCGTTTCCTAAGTCTGATGACCCCCGTCATGCTGATGAATATATAATGTAAGGAGAGGTCTGGAAAGTGACCAAACTACCGAACCAACGAGAAACTCAACGTTGGACGCGCAGGGTAAGACGGAAGCGACCAAAGTCGGTGCCCATGCCGACACAACTTAGGTGGAGAGGGAGCAGAAAGTGGACATTTTGTTCCCAGATGTGCAAACTTCATCCTAGCCATTGCTATGGAAAAGACATGAGCAATGTGTCAACCAACGTCGTTTTCAGAATGTAACAAACCCATGTAAAATGACGGTAAAATTCGCTTTAAAGCTGAGGACAAACCTATGTAACTATAAGATGCTATCTAAAAAACAGTATAATCGGTTAAAAAGTTGCAGCCGGACCTCTGAGACCAATCGGGCCTTCGGTGGCTCGCCATTCTGGTTGGAAATGTGGCAGCACCCTTCTCAGCAAGGGATCAAGGACGTACAAGCGATGGCATCTTGGCAATACGATTCTATGATGCAAAGACCCGGAAAATACAATAAAGGCATGCAAGCAAGCTTGACCACTTCTGCCTAAGCAAGAAGAATTCCCGCATGTCACCAGGACAGTGGCTGTCATGTCAGAGTTCCGGCCCTGAAAGCTGCTTAGACGGATGGTATTCAAGAATGCACTGCGTGTCTGCAAAGACTTATCTGAAGGAAACAAAAAAGCACACAAGTGAACTACCAGGGTGTGTATGCTACCTACTTACAGAGAAATGTGGGATAAAAGAAGGCAATGGCTCACAGTTTGGGAGTCACTCGCTGAATCAAAGAGACGTTTTGGGGGTGTTCGATCTAACCGATTGGAGATTTTCTGCTGATTATGCCACAAGGAGCAGTCTTCAGGCGGAAACATCTGGGCAAGTTTACTTTGCAGGTACTCTAGGCGACTTTCCAAATTTAATCCCACAATCGACAGGGGACATGAGACGGCCGAACAATTCACCGCCGCAATTTCATCAGGTCCATTTTCACCGGAAACGTCATCGGATTTAGCGGAGAGAGAGGTTAACCTGCAATAAACAGACGGCACGATATGACAAAATAACAGCATATTTGATGGCACGAGAAGACTTATTAAGAAAAATGAATAAAACGGACGAATCTACAAAAAATACAAATTCACCTCGGCTCTGGTACTTTGTAAGACAGCGTTGCATCTCCCGAAATGTTCTCTTCAAGTAGCAAGGAGAATATTTCCAGCAAATTCTTCAGATGGAGGGGGTCAAAGTTGGCCAGTGATGTCGCACTGATATGAGATATTTCAGACTCCAATTCAGATGAAAGCCAATCCAAAATAAACTGGTATCTTGCCTCCAAATCATCAGATTCATCTGGAAGGCGGATGGTGTTTTTCAAATTAATTTAGATGCATACTTTTAGACGTTTCGGAATCCAGCAACGAGAGAAACTGTTCAAAAAGACTGATATTAACATCCAAAATTGAGTTTATGACACAGTTGATATTTAACCGTTTGGCAAGGGATCGCGAAGTGTCAATAACGAGCCTCGAGAGATATTCATCAGGCATCATACGTCCGACTCAGAACTCTAATCGGCGCCAAAAGGTGCGGCCTACTTTTACACAAACGATAGGTTAGTTAAACAAATTCGTTTCCTCGTTTACATTGAACCAGTTCAACGGGAATTTTATGTAACTTTGCTTTTCTATGCCTAATACACACCTGAAAGGTTATTTCAGTGTCTTCGGTCTTTCAAGTGGGTTTACAATAGTTTTTAGACCTTTGTATTCTTATCTATTAGAGGGAAATGTCCGTGAAGAGTTGGCATATCCCATTCTCAAAACGGAGTAATTCGGTCAGCAGGAGAATATTTCACCCGCCACAGCATTCGGGCGTCTTAATTGGAGTGGGTGTTGCATGCACTCACTACACTGACATTCGGCTCTCGGAATATTCTCCGCTCACCTTTTTCGGATTAAAATTTGGGAACAATCAGAGAAAAAGTCAAATAATCACCAAGGGGAGAGCACAAAATCGATTTCCGGAAGTCGCTTTTGCAGAAAGTTGACTGGAAAAGGCATTCGAAATTGAAATGACCATTCCTTATTTTCATGTCCTTGGTAGCCAGTCGTACACTGAGTGTAAGCAGGGTAAATCGAAATATTGATATATGATATTCCTGTGATCACACGACAAAACCTGAGACCGTATCTTGAAGACAAACAAAAATAAAGTAAGTTCGGGGTCATTTCTGCCTTACTGTATGCCGTTGGCCGGCCGTATATGAAATCCACGTCCAAGATATACTGCAAAAAGCATCCTACATTCGCGACTTGCAATCGAATACATATACATATATATATAGGCAGAATAGTATTACCGACAAAGACAAGGGAGACGGGAATGGCCATTTCTGGCTTATTAGCCGTCGTCAGCCAGCCATACCCAAGCCCGAAGTGTGGAACACCCGAGCCTCGAACTCGCGACCTGTTGGTTTAGAAGTCAACGCCCCTACTCACCGGGCCACGAGCCCGTTGCCTTG